TATTTGTTTTGGGGATAAAAGAAAAAATCTCATCCCAATTGATTATAAATGGGCCACATTTCAAAATTTTTAAAAACTTCTTCTATAATTTTTTGTTAATATATTTTTTAAGGCCATTGGGCCAATTTACTCTTAGAAAAAATACAGGGTATTTGATTAGAGCTAATTTTATATTTTAATATTTGTTATTTCTTAATAATTATTTTTAAAATCCTCTTCTATAAATATTATTTTCTACTGGTCCTTTTTTATCATTTCCCTCTATTCCTCGATTAGATAACGGTAGTTGGGCTGGCCCATTTCATTGGACCAGATTTAATAACTTCAAGCCCAAATAATGACAGTTGCGTTGTGCTTTCCCCTCTTTTAGCCCAACACAACCTCCATGGATAATTGGCAAACAATGTCTTAAAAGTTCTGGAAAGGAAAACTTAACATTTGATTTTTATAATTTGCGTGATTACAGTTCCAAGCCCCTCTCTCTCTGTTTTTTTTTTCCTTGTTCGGTCTGCAACATTAGTCATATTTTCATAAGAATGTCAATGTGACACAAATGATATTAAAAATACTAACATATTATTGATATTATTAGTTTAGTGACAAAGTATTAAATTATTGTTGAGATGAACTTTCTAATAAAAAAAAAAACTTTAAACGTTCATGAATAGTTTCAAATCCTCACAATAGGGAATTCATGTTAATTATAGTTATGAAAATAAAAATAAAAAATGTTTATTCAAGACAGAATATAGTATTAACGAAAAAAAGGAATATACTTATCTTATTATTATCAATATTAATTATAAAATTTATAATAAATTATATTATTTAGAATAATAAATAACGCAGAATGTTCTTCCCATTTTATATAACACGAGAGTTCACTTTATTTTATAATAAAATCATACACAACTAATAAGAACACAAATTATTCTTGTATGCATGGTGTCATATCTTTTATTTTATTTTATTGTTTCATTATTGTTGTTATTGTTGGCTAAGTTAGTATCAAATTATCATAAAAACATGAACAAATAATAATAATGAATTCAATATATAATCTATAAAAGAATTAGAAAGGCCCTTTTAAATATCATTTACATAAAAAATTTAATAATATGTGTGTGCATAATAGAATCATGCTTTTCATATTGAATTTTTTATAATAAAATCAACAAATGATAATAATAAAATCATGATTTGCAAAAAAAAGAAAAGAAAAGAAAAGAAAATCATGCTTTTAATATGTCCTCAGAAAATTCCTCTTCTCGTGCCACGCATGGTTCAATATACATGTATCATGCTTTTACTATTGACTTTCCTCCAATCAAATTTGAAACACTTGAATATGATAATTATAAGTATAAATAGAACTCGTTATATTTAAAAAAAATAACGAAGTGAGGAAAAAATTACTCAATTGTTAATGTTTGATTGAAGAATTGGTAAATCAAACCCTTCAAGCTTAAGTTTTTCCTTTCTCCCTTCATCATTAGCTTAGCTCCATTAAAATCAATTTTCTAATCAAATCTCAACACCTAGCCTTTTCTTTTTCACTACATTGTTTACTTAAATGTAATGAGTTATAATTATATTTATGCTAAAATTTAAACGCTGAGATTTGATTATAGGATGAATTGTAATGAACGCAAGCCAGTAGACCTATGTTTTGTTATTTTGCAAAAGGTGGAATGCAATTCACAGTATTATTTTAATTATATAGCATATAATGCAAATACTGCATTCTTTAAAATATGCATGTGTCAATATTTGTCCTGTCTAGAAACAAGCTAATGGGAGGCCAAATAATAATTCAGTGAGAGCAGATATTCTTGTTAAATCACTACTACAAATCTGCAAATATAAGATGCCTCATATAAAACGATTGTAAGAAATTCATCCTAATCGACAATTGGTTCATAATTACAATCATTGTTCAACATTTATCCTAAAAATATAAGAGGCCTCATATAAAACGGTTGTAAGAAATTCAACCCATTATTTTTATCCCAAAAATTGTCCCTAATCCTGGCGCTATACTGATTGTAAGTTAGAATTAGATCAACAATACAATAAAAATTCTTCCCTCATTTCAACATTTCTTGCAACTTAATTTATGCCAGTTTTTGAATTTTTTTTATTGTACATATATATCTTTTTTTATTGAAGATAATTTTATTCGAAATATAGTCATGTGTGATATCTCCCTCAACATGATTAATAATTCTTGATATCTTTAATTAAAAGCCGAACTGTTACTTTGCTATTTTATTCATACAATTCATAATAAAGTTTTTATGATTTTATATTGTTTGTTTAATTCATTATTGATATAAATTAGAACAATGTTAGAATACATCATATATTTTATTACCATGGTTTTTAAAAAATATAACACATTTATAATAAACACTTCTTTATGTAACTTTTCACAAATTTGAGCAAGTCAAACTCCAGTTGTTTGGTAAATAAGTTAGTTATAATTTTTTATAGAGTAAAAATTAGAGTACAAAATACTGATCATCCATTTAAATTTGTTTAATTTTATAAAGGTTCAGGCTTAAAAATTAAGATTTTTTTATGTAATTAGACTTTTAAACCTGCCTTATAAAAATGAGTTTGGGCTTGAGCGGCTTCCTAAGCTTTTTTTTAAAAAAATAATATTGAAACATACAACTTAGAGAGTAAATCATTTAATTTAGCTAAATTGGGATGAGGATAATTGAGGTAAATGCTGATTTCTTAACAGTGAGGGATGGATTTATAAAGGTCATTACCTGTAAATTCGGTTTTAGCCCCATTAATGTTAGATACTTGACCATTGCCTCTATAATCTCTTTCCCTTCCTATATGAACAAAGTAGCTTGCTAATTAAAAAGATATTATAAAACTTGAGTCCTTTTTGAGCTTATCATTAATACTGAAGACGGTTAAAATGATGAAAAACTAGTAAGAATAAAGGGAGTGATTGATAAGACCATGCACATAAGATTAGTTTACTTCACTTTTATACATAATGGCGCCACTCACAAATGATGACAGCATCGTCAACTAATAGAGTAATAGACTTGCTTTTGAGGACCGCAACCTTTTATTTTCAGATGAAGACTAGGGAAATTTGGATTAATGAAGATTTTTATGTTCATTTTAAATTTAGAAAAATATGTTTTATTTATTTTCTAAAATATTATAAGGATTTGGATTTGTTTGATTTATTTTAAATTTTAAAATACTTTAATTAATTTATAATTTCATAATGTTGAATTTTATTTTAATTTTTTTGAAGAACAGGCTAATGGCCCCAACTTTGAGCTTTTTTTTTTTAATTGTGCACTAGTATTTTCTTGTTAGAAGTAATCTTTGAATCATTTAAATAAGAGTTGATCTTAAAAATTGTCAATTTTAAAAAAACTATCAAACCGAGCTTATGAATACAAACCTATAAGAGTTGGGGTAGCACTTTTACTAACTCTAAACAAAATAAATAATAGAGACTTTTTCTTGTTTTCAAACATACATATTACTTCAATTGTTAACACTTTTACTTAATTGTATAAAAAAGTTAAATTTACCATCTCGCATCATTATCTAATCTCTCTCCAATCTAACAAATTTTAAATAATTAAGTATGCTAATATTTAGATAAATATTTTTTTAAAATATTATATTAGAAGCAATAAAATTTAAACTAAATTAAACATGTGTTATATTGATTAATTTATCCTTATTATATTAAATTCATAATTTATCAAATTTCTTTTGCATCTATATTTAAAATATCATTTAACCCAATCTATGAAGTTAAAATGTAAACAAATTACTACATAAATAATTTCACATAACTAAATTTTTTTAAATAATTTTAAAACTAAAAATGCATTGAAATTATTTTTGGTAAACTAAATATTTTTTAAATATTTCATTAATGATTGTGTAGATGTGCTGAACCTTCTCCTCATAAAATTAGGAATTTCATCCACATGTAAACATTATTATACAGGCTCATTCTCTCTTCTATAGAGACTAAAATTTATCTTTGAATCTTATATTTAAAAGGGCAAAGTCTTGCACTCACTTTTTGGCCAAGTTTGCTTTGAATATATTATGTAAGTTTTAATTTTTTAATCAACCCCTGCCTTATTGTTTGAAGGCAGTGGATGATGATAAGAGGGTTATTTAGTAGGTTTTCTTACAAGCTATTTTTGGTTCTTTTATTTATTTTGTATTCAAAAAAAAAATTACATTAACGTTAGAAAGGGCTATTTTAGTGTGATACTAAGTTGCTAACTACATAAACTTAAAGAAAAATAACAATTAAGAACTTCTGTATGAAATTTATATTAATTAAGGATTAGTTATTGTCAAAATTTAAATGGATACTTGTTAATTTAAATTAGTCTTTTATCAACAAGTATTCATTCGGGTTTTATAATAATTCATTTTAAATTAACAACAATCCATTCAGATTTGTTTTTTTTTTTCGAGTTTTGATAACAAATGATTCTTAATTGATATAAATTTTATATAGAGGTCATTGATTGCTATTTTCTCTAAACTTAAATAATGTTGATATCATATTACATAAAAATGTGAGTAGTTGTAATAAAAACTTATAATTCTTTACCATTTAATGATATATTATTACTAATGCACATATTTTTTCTAGAATTTGTCATCTCATGTGCTCCATAAAGTTGTTTTAATAATAACATCATGTTATTTTCTTCCATTTCAAAAATTATTTTATAGTCCTATAATTTTGATAAGGAAAAAGACTTTTCCCAGCTGACCGTAGAAAAATTCCTATGATTTTGGATAATGCAAAATGGATAAAAAAGGAAATTCCTGAAAAATGGGAGGCGGTAAAAAAACGTGAGAGTAGATAAACAAACAGGAAGAGGTGGTCTATATTTATTTCAATCTGATCCGTCGCTTTCAATCTCAACCCTGCACTAAATTTCCTTTGGGTTTCTGAAGAATCTCGATTTTTGCTAAAATTTCTACAATTGCCTCAAACTACGATTTTTAAAATAGACCGAACAGAGAGAAAGAAATTGTTTTTAGCGTACGTCCTACTAAATTTTACTAACTTCCATTCAGAGTTCACCTTCTGCTCAGTAGGAGCTCGTTGTAATTCCTAGTCATCAGTGTTAGGTGAAGTTCTTCTTGTTTTCCTAAAATTTTCTCGTTATTTATTTTTTAGTTTGGAATTTAATTTTCCTGTCGAGACTTTTCCCCCTGGTTTAGGGCTTCAAACAAAGCAGTAAGCGAAGAAACATCAGTGTTGCTGCTTGGTTGCGTTGATTCACGAAGTTATTTCAAGCTATGAACTCTCCAACCCATCCCCCTTCATCTTCCTCTTCTTCTTCCTCGTATGCGTTTCGTCCTCCTCCATTCCTCACTCATGCTTCTCGTAATTGCAAGTTTCCTCTGTAAGTATTCCTTTTGGCGCCGGAAATTTATATTAAGAAGTTAGGAATTTTATATTCATAAGCTAGATGGTTCCCACTTGTTTGTGCGTTGTCATTTCCTTAGTTCTTGTCATGTATTTTGTAGGGAATGAGTATATTCTTTTGACTATTACCAACTGACGGGATCTTCTGATCTTAATTTTGAAATGTTAGTGCTGGCTTTTTCATGTTTTAACTACTGAGATTTAGTGCTTCTCCGTCAAGCTGCACGTTTTCTATTGGAATTAATGTTGTTGACGATTGGCGGATTTTCTGTACTACAATGCTATGCAATTTACTGCCAATTTCTATAGAAGATTTTGTCTGTCTTCTTCAATGCTATAGTTTTGTTCGAAAATTAGATTGATGATTTGCTTCCCACTATTCATTCAAGCTCAATTATTATTGCTTTCCTGTTTTTTCCCAATATTTTTGTGTTGTTAGTTATAACCCCCTCAGTTCATTGTTCCTGGTATTTCACTAGTTTGGTTCAATCTTATCGCCAGAAGCACTCTTTTAACTTCATTTAGTAAATTTCTATGTCAAATATTTTACTATCAAATCTCAAGATCAATAAAATATTCTCAAGGTCTTAATATTCATTTTTCCACAGGTTGTTGCCACAGGCAATCCGTACTTCCCAAAAGATGTATCGCTGTTCTAGGGCCCATATGGAGGCTCCTATTAACGCTAGCCCCTCAAAAAATTACATAATGACCAGATGTTCTCATGGATGGTCTGGCGCACAAGCTTTTTTTTCCAAGCAATCAATCAACAAGCACTTGTTGCCAGCGGGAGCTTTATCAACTTCAACAACTCAAACTGTTTCTGGTACACCTCTTGTTGGCGACGATAAGATTGGTGTACTATTGCTAAACCTTGGAGGTCCAGAGACTCTTGAAGACGTGCAGCCATTTTTGTTCAACCTTTTTGCTGACCCAGTAATATTCTATCTTTCATGCACAAGACATCTAGGCTGAACTCCCTTTTTTATAAAATAATATTCAACCTCTTTAAATTGATATTAATCTAAAATTTTCTATTTCTTATTCATTATTATGTAGGATATTATACGGTTGCCAAGGTTGTTTGGTTTCCTTCAAAAGCCGTTGGCCCAATTTGTGTCTGTTTTAAGAGCACCAAAGAGCAAAGAAGGCTATGCTTCAATTGGTGGTGGCTCTCCTCTTAGACGTATAACTGATGCACAGGCATGGCACTCAGAAAACATGATTTTCATCTTAATTAGTAAAAGTAATTAGTAATTACTATTGCTTTACTCTGAACTTGTCAAATGCTGCATTGGAGTCTGGAGAACTTGAAATTTCAGTTTATCAATGAGTGAACTATATATGTTGGTAAGATTGTTCATATGCCTAATGTATGTGGTTGATCTTTCTTCAGTTTTCAAAGTATTAATAATTTATAAAGTGATACACAAGCACAATAGTTGATGGTGAAGAATTGTAGAGCTTACTAAAGAAGTCAGCTTTGAACTTTTATTCTCCAAGCTCCTCACTGTTGAAGTTAAGCTTTCTTACGTGCATTTATTATTGAGGCTGAATCACTTCTCTCATGACAAATTTAAAATTGTTGATTTGTGTACTTTCAATTTTTTTTTTTTTTTTTGTAATCTCATCTATATTTCAATTAATTCTTTCCTGCCATTTCAAGTAAACTTTTGAATTTTTAACCAATCTGTGGAGAGAACGATGTTCAAATCCTTACCAATGAAATTGAACATTATCTACGTGTTTAATGCTATCTTCCGCAGGCTGAAGAGTTGAGAAAATCTCTTTGGGCAAAAAATGTTCCTGCAAAGGTTTATGTTGGCATGCGTTACTGGCATCCATTCACTGAAGAAGCTATTGAACAGGTATTGGTTAACTTGATTTTAGATGACAAAATAAACACTGAACAACATTTTATTGAATGTTTGCTACTTTTGAATCTTCTACCTTTTTATTGTTATATATCTAAGTTAAAACTTGTTGCTGCAAGATTCATCTTTTAAAGGGAAAGCCCGTAAAATTTTTTACATATGATGTCATCACATGTTGCTTGATATACTCTTAAGTTTTAACTCAAATATTAACTGGTTGAACATTAGGTATATATAAACTTTGATGGCTTTGATGCAGCTATTGCTTTTCGCCATATTGATATTCCTTTGTTGATACCTTATATCTGAGTTCTATGCTTAATTATTTTTCAGAATGATTCAATCTAGTTCAAAATAATATGAAGTCCTATTCTACTTTGCCAAAGTAACCAACACAATTTTATTTGTACTTTTCTTTTTGGGATTTCATTTCTGTTTGATTATAGTATTCCCCCCCTTCAAAATATACTGTGTAGATTAAAAGGGATGGAATTACAAAGCTTGTTGTTCTTCCACTTTATCCACAATTTTCAATATCAACCAGCGGTTCGAGCTTACGTCTTCTGGAGAGTATATTCCGGTAACCACTAGAAAATTTGTTATCACATCATGATACACCAAAGATATAGACTGACATTCTGTTATAATTGTAAATTATTAAATATTAAACTATTCTTCAGTGAGGATGAGTATCTAGTCAACATGCAGCACACTGTAATTCCTTCATGGTACCAGCGTGAAGGATACATAAAGGCCATGGCAAATTTGATTGAAAACGAGTTAAATAGTTTTGACAACCCTAAGGAGGTACTGTATCTTTTATGATTTAGTGATTCAGATGAAAGGACTATGTTCTGTGGTATTTTTTCTGTTAGCATTGTCATATTTTGTTGAAATATTGACAGCGTAATTTATGTAGTCAACATCGTAGTTATGCCTGGGTGAGCTGTGTTATATTTTCTGTTAGCATTCTGATATTACTGAAATAATGACAGCATAATTTATGTAGCCAGCCACATCTCAGTTATGTCTGGGTATAGTGATTTTTTCCTGTTAGCATTCTCATATTTTATTGACATAATGACATCCTAATTTATGTAGTTAAAATGCCTTGTCTATTTCTGGTTAAAATAACAGCCGTACTAGTAACTCATAACAGCCATACTGGACACTGGTAGCTGATAACAGTACGAATTGTAACATGGCCTTTTGAGGTGTTCGAGATATTCTGAAATGCAATATGCTAACCTTTTTGGTTGGTTTTTTATGAGAAAAAATTGTGCCTATCAACAAAATATGGTTGTTCTCTTATTTCCTTACTCGTCGTCGTAAGTTTTTCCTGAGGAATTCTTGTTATGCTTGTGCTTGTGCTTGGGAGTCATTTGATTGTCTGCCTGTATCCCTGTTATCCTTAGTAATTGAAATTCTGATAACAGGTGGTGATATTCTTTAGTGCGCATGGAGTTCCACTTGCATATGTGGAAGAGGCTGGTGACCCATACAAGGCAGAGATGGAGGAATGTGTGGATTTGATTATGGAAGAACTAGAGAAAAGGAACATAACTAATTCCTACACCCTCGCGTATCAGGTACCTTGGGTCATGGGTCATTCGATCTCTTGTAGGTCTTATTTCATATAAACCAATAGGCAGTATTGGTTTATGCTATGAAACGTTGCATGCTTCCTGGCCTGTATTTATCTAAATATATGAAATATGGTATGGAAATTCTAACTATAAGAACGGGAATTTTTGCTAGCGTTTAAAATTTCGAGAGCAAAGAGTTAATCTAAATACTTATTGTTTCTTGTTATGCTTTATGTTGCTAGTTTGTAGTCCTCAACTGGACTCACGAATTGAAAGCTATTTTCAGAATGAGCAATCTTGGGCCATTATTTTCTAGCTGTTAGCATGATTTAGTCACATGTGGAAAGCTCTTTGCGAGTAGTCTACCTGACTACCTTTTGAGAAAAATCTCAGGACCCTTCAAATACTACTCAGGGCAGCTTTCTTGCATAACGTTAAATTCTCAACCAAGTCAAAGTGGTGGTGTAGATTGTTTTATCTTTTCCTGAGTAGTCTATTTGTAGACCTAGCTTTGTCATCCTACCCTCAAAGCATGATTTGTGACTCTGAGATTCTAGTGTAATCATTGTTACAGAGTAGAGTTGGACCAGTGGAATGGTTGAAACCTTATACGGATGAGACGATAATTGATCTTGGAAAGAAGGGAGTGAAAAGTCTGCTGGCTGTGCCAATTAGGTAATATTAGCCTTCCGTTTTTGTGATATTACCTTGCTCCTATCTTTATACTTTCTGGCTTCTTTCTTCAT